AGGGCAGTGTCACTGGCCCTCATATGTGGGATCTGAACCGGGGCCCTCTGGCGTCCCAAGCCAGTTCTTAACCATCGCGCCACTTGGCCGGCCCCTGCTGTCCTTTTTCTATTAGGTCAACTTCATAAAAATCTAGTTCTAGTTGAATGGCATGTTAAAATCTATTCTATCACCTAATTGTTAGTCTAATGCAGTTCTTAATTTTGTCTCAGAGCCTTTATAGCAGGGGTTGGCAGTATGGCTTGTGGGCCAAATGAAGCCTGCCACCTATATATATTTAAAGGATTTTATTGGGGAACAGTGTTTTTTCCCAGGACCTATCAGCTCCAAGTCAAGTTGTTTCAAATTAGTTGTGGAGGGCACAGCTTCGTGGCCCATGCGGGGATCGAACTGGCAACCTTGCTTATGAGCACTGCGCTCTAACCACCTGAGCTAACCAGCTGCCCCACCTGCCACCTACTTCTGTTAATAAAGTTTTATTGGAATATGGCCACTTGTTTATGTGTTGTCTACAGCTGCTTTTGCACTATAATGGCAGAATTGAGTAGTTGTAAGAGACCATATGGCCTACAAAGCCTAAAAAAGTATTTACAATCTGGTCCTTTAGAGAAAATTCATCAACCCCCACTTTACACCTAAAACTGAGACTCCCAAATAACTTTTGTATCTGTTAATGGTGATGGATGTTAAGTTTTCCAAAACTAAATTTTACTTGAAAGCACAAATGTAATATTGGCAACAAACACTGTCAGTTGTCCTTGAAATGGTAAGTTCATGTGTGGGCTATTATCTACAAATATGTATTAGAAATTTCAAAAAATATTTATTAGTTCAAAAATAAACACGTTACAACATACTTTTAATGAAAAGTAACCAAAGAACAAAAAATTTACTAAGAGTGGCACTGTTTCACATTTTTGCAAATCTCTGAGACAGGGTCTCATCTGCTTTTGTCTTTAGTGTCATGGTATGTTTTGGTTAAAGCATATGAAGAAAATCTGGGCTCAGAGGTATGTAGTTGGAAAAGGGAGAGATATTTTAATAACCTTTTCAGGTAACTGTTAAGTTCTTGATACTACACCCAATCTTGACAAATGGTAATTTCTTAAATGTTAGTTGCAGTGTGGAATTTAACAGAATCAATGACCTTTTCATGCTGTTACATTAAAATCCACTAATCATTTAGAAAATATTGGCTGACTCAGCTATGAAGATCTTCCAAATGTCAACACATTTCTTTCTACGATATTTAGTCACATTCATTAATACCACCACTAATCTCTTCAGAAGTCTTGACTGTGAAGCTGTCATGCTAATGGTAGCTGGTACTAGTTTTCCAACCTTAATTTTCACTTGAAAGAACAAAATTTTATCACTGCCAACAAATGCTATTGGTGTTAAGTAACAGGCTCACTTAATTCACTTTTGAGAAAATGTTGACCACAAACCCAAGTTTGAATACCCAGTTTGTCAGTTGTTCAAGTAAAAATGGTGTTCCCTGAGTGGCTAGTTTAGTTTGCAACTCAATCACACGTGTTTTTCCTTGAGACAACTATACTTCACAGTATGCAGAAGTGTTTTATGTAGCACTTCCTACTTTGTCACATGAAACATTAAAAAGATGTGTACTCAAGGGTTAGATTGAATGAGATTAATAATTTTTACTGCTGGTCAGGAACATTAAGTTAATATTGACTTTTTAAAAAAAATTGTGTTTGCTTTTGGTAGATAACCTTTATCAAGTTAAGAAAATTCCAATTATTCTTAGATTTCTAAGAGATATTTAAAATATGTAGTGAACTTGATCAAATTTGCAACCCAGTGGATGAAATCAGCAATGAAACTTTACTCAGATTTTGTCCCAGTTTTTGATCTGCCATTATCAAGTTGTGAACTGAACAAAGCCTGAATTGGAATAGAATAAGACTGGCTTTTTATTTTTAAAAGTGAGCCAGTTGACCAGAGGATAAATACCTATTTCGCCTATATATCTTTGCAGAGAAAAAATAAGATCTGTTGAATGTGATTTTGGCAACCTGAGGTCATTCCGGACACTGATTTGCCATTAGAAAATGTCATCTTCAGCACAGGTGTATAAACACATTCACTCACCCAGAAAAATGCAACCCCACATGTGAAGCTTGAACAGATTCATCCAAATCAAACCAAAACCACAAAACAGATCAAAATATACACTCCCTTCATATAGCAGTTTTTTAAAAATCAGAGTTTCAGAAAATCATTAAAATGTAGTTAAAAATGTCATAAACGGTTTGAAAAAGAATCAATTGCATAGTGTTGAAAGTTATTTCGTATTTTATTTTCTAATTGCTGTATTTTGCATGATTTTTTTACATAATTCCAAAAGATGGGAAAGGAAACCTCCAAATCCATCAGTACTAATTAGCTTTCATGAATCTATAATAAAGGATGTAAAGAGTAATATTAAAGACTTAAGAATGAAATATAACCAGAGCTACCAATGTTAATAACTATAAACTTCCTCTAACTATAGAGCAGTTGGCATTTTGCAAAACATCTTCAAGCAAGTTCCATCTGTTAGTCTTATGCTGAATTAAATGAGGGTGGCAGCAATTATTCTAAATATCTTGTCGACATGAATATACAAATATATATTCTACACATTTCTTTTTATTATAGGAACCAAAGACTACAAGTCAAAGAAATGGTGAGTAGAGAATATAAGAGACGTGCATATTCTATCATACGGAATCCTGGGCGTCTAGTGAAAAGCGGCGGACACTGCTCTCAGTGCATTGTATATATGAACACATCAATTATCAATCCTCCCAACAACTCTGATTCAGAGAATCAGAGAACAGTTACTGTTCTCAGCATTCCCATCTTACAGGCGAGGGGCCTGAAGCTTAGACAGGCTGGAGAAGGTGCCCGTGGTCACCTGCAGAGTGGAGGCTGCGACAGGCCCTGGGACGCCAGGGCCCAGGCTCTTCACTCTCCATCGCACTGCCTTCTAAGTACCTGGCAGCCGAGGGGAAGAGAGGATCCGGTCCAACCAACTCTCCAAATCCCCCGCTTCACTCTAACTATACCTGAGAGGCTAGTGTCTTAGCACACTTGTAGCAAGCCTTAAGTCAGGTTTTGTTCTTTCCTGAATAGGAAGAGAGTATGGATAAAAAGGATGGTAAGTTTAAAGAAAATCAAAAACACAATCTGGTGTGTAAAAGTTCATGGGAATCCAAACAGTATAAGTGGAACTTCCCCTTCCTAAGCAGGATAAGATCTAAACACATCTCATACCAATACAAACCTTCTTTATCTTTACGACAGTCAGGTAACATAAAGAACCTTTCATTTGGATATACTGTCAAGCCACAGTTAATACTGGATGTTGTTAAATCTGTACACAATTCAAATCAAGTACAAATCCAGCCAGGTATTGTATTTGAAACATGCTTTTACCTATATGATTCCTCATTTGCTCTGAAGTCAATACTGACAGTTTATATTTATTAAAGGTGTTATTCAACATCCTATAACTTAATATTTACAAGATAGATGACATTCAATTAAACTACACGTCACAAAGAATTTTGTAAGCAACTACATTTATAGCCATGATATCACAGATGTGCTGAGTAATCCAATGGCTATTCCTTAATAAAATACAAGAATTTTCATCATGCATAGTTTATGGGCACCTTAAAAGGTGGTCTCTTTAAGAGGCTGAATGTTCAAGAAAGATTCAACAGTCAAATAAATTTTGGCAAGTCTTTTTTTTTTTTTACACAAACACTTGGTTTGGTTCTTTAGTCACCTTAGTAATACAACATACTTATACTATAACTGGAAGTGCAATAAACACTACATGAAAAATGCAAGCCTATCAAAGTCATTAGTTATAACTACACCCTCTTAGCAGTAAGAACCATTATTCTTGGATTTCAAACATTTTATTTTCTTTCAGGGCACACCTTAGAGCATTGTATTTTAGGAATCAAAGAGTATAATCAAAACCAATTAAACAAAAAAAACGCCCAAGCCCCAAAAAACAAAAAAAAATTTTAAGGACCACTTCCATTCCTCATTTGAAATATAATCAAATCGATGAAACTATACAATTTCCATATTAAAGACAAGTTAGTAAAATAACTTCTCCAAGTAGCATTGCATATGAGCTACATACAACTTTACCCCAATTAATTTAATTACGATTTGAGATTTTCCAGGATGCAACAGCACTGTATTGAGCTGTTACTACCAAGGGGGGGAAAAAATCACTGTCTAACACATGAATTCGGGCCATTGTTGTAATTTTTAAAGAATCTTTAGATCACTCATATTTATTGGAGTTAAGTAGAAAAACTAATGTTTGAGTTGCACTACCCCTACCGTAAACTGTATCACAGACGCAGAGTTAAAACATTCTCGGTAAAATAACGTGGAAGGATTTAGCAAAACGCTTTCATGTACGGCAGCCTAAAGGTCCTAGGAGGTTGAGTACTGATGGAGATAATCATTAAGTCAATTCTTAGAGGCTGGTTTCTTGTATTAAAAACCAGCCCATGGTCTCAGATGCATTCCTTCTAGGTAAGTGTTCAGGAAAGCCAAATAAGAAACATGAACCGCAATTGTCCACTTTTAATGTCTAATCTTTTAACAATTTTTTTAAAGAACCTTGGATTTCAATTCCAGAGTTTGTACACTTAGGAAGTTATACTAAGTGTGGGATGAAAAAAGATTTGCTTGTTGTTTGGAAGCCACGTGAAGTTTTAGTCCCCTTGGTATTACTTTTTATCACTGAAAAGTTCTCTGGAGACCAGTAGAATCAAAGCTTCACAAGCTACCTGATGGATCTGTTCTTTTCAAGTTGCACACAATTTCAACGTGGCTAGTGAGGTCTAACTAGTCCAGTCCTTAGTTTCATTTTACCAGAGGTGATAACGAAAAACTAAATAAGGAAAGGTCAATCTAAACTCCCATTAAGATACAAGCAAAAAAAATCTGTACACACAATAAAATACATCCTAAACACAAAGGGTATAATATACTCTCCAGCATGACATTGTCTTTATTATATTTCTCTGTTGTAGCTCTTCCATTCAGAAATTGGAAACCATCTTTTCAGTAGGTCGTTATTCCCTCCTCTTTCTCCAGTTTAGGGATAGCTTGAAAAAGGCTTAATTTGGATAAGTTGTTATGAAGTTTCATTTACACATAATTTAAGTGTTTATAAAAATTGTAGCTTACATGTATATGACTTCTGAAAATAAAATGACACAACATAATCTTTTTGTTCTGTAAAAATATTCTACATCCATGCACATGATCAAAACAATCTTTTCTTTGTTGGAAAACATCCTATGCACAGTTAAGTAAAAAAAAAAAAAGTAGACAACTGTATCAGTATTTCCAATGTTAAGATAACTGGATGCCACCTAGTGTTCAATTTCTGCAATTACTAACCAATTCAAAATTGCTATTAAAACCCAGCTTCAAAAAACTGCATTTTGGAAATAAATGCCTTTTTGTTGATATGTTTTACTGGCAAAAAAAGATCCTGAAAAGAATGTACATGATATCAAAATTAGTATAAAAATAGCCACATGCTACTTAAATATGAAAAACAGACCTAATCATTTTTGCCTTCAAATGCAGACTCTTCTGGTCTTCCTTAAATTTTAAGGAAATCTTATGGGAACACCTAGGTAACTAGAACATACACAAAGTCACGGTACAGTCAACAGGCTAGTGAAAACTAGGGCTTAATCATGAACAATCTTACTGGAAGTGGTCAAAGTAGGAAAGGTAATTACTGCATCTTTCCCTCTTTTTCAAAATAGGTGTGCTCTTTTATACCCCATAAGCCCCATTACAACAAAAACCAAAGTGGGCTTAACAATTCCTTCAATTCAGCACTACCAGTTTTTAAAGAAATACCTTAGAAACAAATCAGTCTGCTTTAACAAACTACACTCAAATTAATGGAGTTTTAATCTTCAACAGGTCACAGTCAAAATCCAAATTGTTGAACAATCCCTCAGAGAAACTGGAATGTCAAATGTTGAGTTCAGTTTAGATCTGAAAGAGAAAAAAACATCAGATCAAATGAAAAACAAATTCTTATATTCTAGCAGTCTACATTTTTATTTAAAGGGGGTTGAAAAGAAGAGCCAAATCAGATTTAAGAGTAACTTACAATACCGCCCAATTATTAAATAATTTATATTGCCAAAAGCTAAGTTTGAATTCTATTTAAATATTGTACGAACAGAAGGGCAATGAGACATCTACTCTTATGAGCAAATTATTGTTAGGAAAAAACAAATTTTCCTTAAAATAAACATACCAAACTCCAAACTGAGTTTGTCAATAGTGCATATCTAACAGATAAAATAACAGAATGGCTAAAGGTCTTGATTTTAACAAAGCTTTTAATGTATGTTGTAATTTCAACACTAATCAAGCAGGTTCAAACAAGATTCTAACACACTATTGTAGTATTTTAATTAAGAGAAGGCATGTTTCGGGCCGGCCGAGTGGCACAATGGTTAAGAACTGGCTTGGGACGCCAGAGGGCCCCGGTTCGGATCCCACATATGAGGGCCAGTGACACTGCCCTCTACAGCTAAGATGCTGAACAACAGCTCGACCTGGAGCTGGGTTGCCCTGAGTTGCCGGCGACGGCATAGGCTGCAGCCCCTGTGTCACTGGGTTGCCATGGGCTACCGTGTGTAGCCAGCAGCCAGCGTGTGTGGCCAGCAGCCGCCGTGAGCGGCCGTCCAGAAGCCGGCGACTGATCTGCCTCGGCCGGGAAGAGCGCAATGATGGTGCCAACTTGGGCCAGTGAAGCAACGTCCTCCACAACTAGACAGAAGAACAAAACGACAGCAACTTGTCTGTTCCCCTTCCCTCAATTCCCCAGCACTGTTCCCTTCCCCCCAATACCCCAAAAAAAAAAAAATCTAAAAAAAAAAAAAAAAAGAGAAGGCATGTTTCTTTGATGTTATATTTCTTACAACTAAATTTCTTAATAGCTGTTCTCTTTAGATAGACACTCGTAATTAAACAAGTTATGCTTCCAATGTCTAGCATTCATATTGCCAAAGCAAATATCAATCTTTTTAGGAAATGCTGAAAAAAGATTATATGAATTCTCAAAGTATAATCAGTTTGACTAGTTGTCTACTGAGTACTTTAATTTCATCGACAAGTCTTGAAATATACCTTTAAGTGTTCAACATTCTTAGATTAAAGGAAGTGAGGGGAAAGAGCTAGTTTCTTTGGGCATAATTCACAAATAAACATTGAAAAACACAAGGTGCATCTACTTACATCATCAATGTCTTCATCATCATCTCCAATGTCATCAAACTGGATTTCATCGTCATCTCCAGGACCAAATGTATCAGTTTCATTGATTTTAGCTAAAGAAACAATAACAAATATATACTATAACCAAGATGTCATTAAAACAACTGCCCACTAGAAGAAGTAGTCTGATATCAAATGTTGAACTATAAGGAGAACTATAAGGAGAAGACTCTTAGAAGTCAAACTTTTAATTTAATGAAATCTAAGTTTTATTATCAGAAAGACCCTTTTCCCTTCTACCCAACAACCCTACTATACAGAATGGTCTTTTATACAACATAATGTCTGACAAAGTCATTGCTAAATCAAGGTGGAAAAGTCTTATAATTTTCTTTTGTTTACAAAGGTATTGTTAGTAAGGCAGGCTCTAATCACAAATATTCTAAAGCTATTACAGCTTTCAGTTATGCTTTAAAAAAAGGTTCCAGTACATGCTAACAACTCACCAATCATCATACAGACTCATCAATCAGAAAGATTTGGTCAAATCATGCGATCCCTAAGCAACGAAAATAAACCAGGAGGTGCTAGTCCTATTCTTAGATGTATTAGTATTTCTTAGATTGGAAATGCCAAGTCATTAATTTCAGCAGGATTTCCATGCTTAAGTAAAACTATTTTGTTTTCATAATATATAACAGAGCCAAAAAATTAAAAAATAACTGCCAAGTGAAATATGAAGGCTTACAAAATAGTATGTCACGTATATTTGCCCTTTGATGAGGTTATGAGGGACTTATTTTTGTTTTACTGAAGTTTTCTGCTTTAAGAATGCATAAATTTTAGGGTGGGCCGAGTGGCTCAGTTGGTTAAGAGCTCGCTTATGAGTATGAGCTCTGAGCAACAGCGGTTCGATGCCCAGCCCAAGCTGAGCTGCCAACAGGTGGCAGGATGGCTCAGCTAAAAAAAAAAAAAAAAAAAAAAGTATAAATTTTGTAATTGGGGAGGACATAAAAACTGTTGGCTTAAAAAAATCCTATGGGGGAGCATTTGAGGTCTTGCTCCCCGGCAATGTTGTCAGTTTCGCTCAAATAAACTCTTGTAAAAATTCTCTAAACACAAAAAACAAACAAAAAATCCTATGGGATCTATACTAGGGTAACACAAAAGTAAATATGCAAAATCCACAAAATTCTACCCAAATTCTTTCACCTAAATACCACCAGGTAATAACACCACGACAAATATAACAACTCAGACATTACCATGTTCTGGAAGCTCGCCATATGCCTTCAGACTTCTCGCTTCATCTGCATTGTATTTTAAAATTACATCAGCTTTATTATCCTTGAAAAGAAACAAATAACTTTTAGAACTGATTATGCCAAAATATTATGTTATTTCATAAATTACTTTCAAACTGAATAAAAAATTAGATCTCGCTGTTCTGTCACAAACTCTTCCTTTTTAACAATTTTAAAGTTTTCTCTTACCCTCTGAAAAACACCTTCGGGTTTAACCCAGTATGAAGAAGCATGCATACATAAACGAATAACGATCAAAAAGCTTAGGGAGGGGCCGGCCGAGTGGCGGGATGGTTAAGAACTCGCTTGGGATGCCAGAGGGCCCCGGTTCGGATCCCACATATGAGGGCCAGTGACACTGCCCTCTACAGCTAAGATGCTGAACAACAGCTCAACCTGGAGCTGGGCTGCTGTGAGTCGCCGGCGACAGCGTGGGCTGCAGTCCCTGTGGCAGTGGGTTGCCATGGGCTACCGTGTGTAGCCAGCAGCCAGCGTGAGCGGCCAGCAGCCGCAGTGAGCGGCCGTCCAGAAGCCGGCGACTGATCTGCCTCGCCCGGGAAGAGCGCAATGATGGTGCCAACTTGGGCCAGTGAAGCAACGTCCTCCACAACTAGACTGAAGAACAAAACGACAGCAACTTGTCTGTCCCCCTTCTCCCAATTCCCCAGCACTGTTCCCATCCCCCCAATTCACCAATAAAAATCTTTATAAAAAAAAAAATAAAAAGCTTAGGGAGGATATTTACAGATCCCACTTTATTAAGAGTAGAACTGTGCATATCCAATCTTTTAGATTATTTACTGTTACTCTTTGGTTACAAATCTTTTGAAATACAAAAATTTCCTGGCACCATAATTTATAAGGTGACTAAATGCTCTAATTCAAAAATTGAGACGGGGATGGGGGGTGGGCGCGGCGGGATGGTTCAGTTGGTTAGAGTGCATGCTCTGAACAAGGTTGCCGGTTCAATCCCTGTTATGGGCCACTTTGAGCTGCGCCCTCCTTAAAAAAAAAAGAACAAAAATTGAGACCGGTATAATGACCTAAGGAAATTAATATAACTTTCTATATACTAGTGGCTCTCAGGGTAGAGCAGAATCTCCTGTGGAGGTTTTACACCTCCTGAAGATAGATTAGTAGATGTGAAGCCACGACTTTGTGTTTTTAAAAGCTCTTTGGGTGTTTCTGATGCAAATACCCCACTGAAAACTACTGCCTTGCAATGTTCACACTTCCCCATTGGAAGAAAAGAATCTGACTCAGTTAAGGAAGAAAAAAGGGCTGAAGAAGATTGTTTCAAAGGCAATGAAAATGATCACAGCGATGCAAGGGCAGTGTGACTCAAACTAGCACTTCTGAAATTATAATGTGTATAGAAGCCCTGAGGGATCTTGTTAAAATGCATTTTCTGACATAGGAGGCCTGGGGTGGGGTCCAAGAATCTGCATTTCTAACAAGTTCCCCAAAAGCTAGTGATGCTACTGGTCCCTGCCTGGATCACCCATTAAATCGCAGATCATGGGAAATTAAGAATCAGAGGGGCAGCGGAGTGGCTCAGTTGGTTAGAGCGCGAGCTCTGAGCAACAGGGTTGCCGGTTTGATCCCCACATAGGCCAGTGAGCTGCACCCTCCGCAACTAGCGACTTGAGCTGAACTGCTGGTGCGGCCGGATGGCTCAGTTGGTTAGAGTGTGCTCTTAACAAGGTTGCTGGTTCGACTTCCACACGGGATGGTGGGCTGCCCAGCGCCCCCTCCCCCCACCCCCAATCCACCACTAGACTGAAAACAGCAGTTGGACTTGGAGCTCATGGGTCCTGGGAAAAACACACTGTTCCCCAATAAAGTTAAAAAAAAAAAAAAAAGAATCAGAAAAGTTGGTCCTGGCTGTCATTTTATGGTCAGAATGCTACACGTTTTGGAATCTTCTTTGGTTTCCCTATCTGTTAAACAGGGGACTAATTATTCTTCCTACTTCTGGGGTTATTTTTAAGATCAAAAGAAGAAAGTGGACATTAAAATGATATGAATTTAAAGCAGGCTTTCTCAGCCTCAGAGCACTGCTGATATTTGGGGCTGGATTATTCTTTGTGGTGAGCCTGTCCTGGCATTGTGGGATGTTTAGCAGCATCCCTGGCCTCTATCCCCTAGATGCCAACAGCACTGTCTTCCTCCCTCAGTTGTGACAACCAGAAATGTCTCCAGACACTGCCAAATGTGTCCTGAAGAAGAAAAAAAATCGCCCATGGTTGAGAACCATTGATTTAAAGATCTTAATTCTTTATTCTAGAATATGTATTTAAAAAATATATATCAGGGGGCCGGGTGAGTGGCTCAGTTGGTTAAGAGCTCGCTCAAGAGTGTGAGCTCTGAGCAACAGCGGTTTGAGTCAGCCCGAGCTGAGCTGCCAACAGGTGGCAGGATGGCTCAGCTACAAAAAACAAAAACAAACAAACAAAATATATCAAAGTATAACCAAGATTATAAAAATAGAAACATTCTATCAATCACAATGTGACTAAACACATCGTGATGAGTTCCAACAGGTAGAAACCAAATGGATCTCACAGACCCATGAGTCTCCAGGTTGAGATCATGAGGGGCAGCCACCATTTTCTTGCCTAACTGCTCATCTAAATTTAGAGCACATCCTCATACCATGGTTTGTACTGTAATTACTTGTCTTATTCTCCCCACTACCGGGCTGTAAGCATTGTGTGGGATGGGAGCTTGACTCCTTCGGCTGTATCCCCTTGAGTAATGGCTTCCAGATTTTGATTTCAAGACATATAAATTAAAAACAAAAATTGGGGTGGGAAGTGCAACATAAAATTACATTTTTATTGTGCTAACTAAGAACACTAGTAAAAACCACCACTATACAATATTGCTTATTCTAAAAAGGGGAACTTTTTAAATATCAAAAAAGGCAAAAGGACCATTTACCTTCATGAAAAATGTACCTGGTCTGTATTTCTTCTACAGAGACAATGTGAACTGCACAGACTGGCACTCAGGAACCATAATCCCTGGGGTACCCAGCGCAATGGCTAAGACATAACTAGCCCTTAAGAAATGTCTGCTGACATAATGGTGAGCAGCATACGGGGCTGGAACTCGTCAAACATGGTTACGACTTATGTTGTAAACATTAATGGCTTATCAAAATCAAGCAAGTAAACAATGAAAAGTTTAATTCTGTTTTTACCTGGTAGTCTCGTAGACCAACCAATATAATGTCTGAGGTATTTATCCAAACCTATAAAAGAAATAAACATAAAGAATCAAAAGCAACACTGAATCAGCATTCTCATAAAACACCAACTATGGGTGAAGCACCTATATTTAAAAGTAGGGGAAAAAAAAAAAACCATAGCAAGCAGCTGCACCTGTTTCAAATTTCCAGTAATTTGGAAGTAAAAAAAAAAATTAAAAAAAAAAAACTTATTTAACTATTTGATATCTGACAGTTGAGTGGTTGCAGAGGAATCATGATTAGTTCAGGAATTAAGGGATTTTTAATAGTGAATCACTCCAGGCGGTTAGTTATCCATCCATTACAACAATGGAAAATTCGAAATGGGGCTTTGCCTCCCTCCCTTCCTCTCCTTCCACCCACCACACACAGCTGGCAAAATCCCTTTAGTTTGGTAACAGAAGGCTTAACAAACCAAATTTTTAAAAAAATCGTAAAATCAGAGTTGGAGGGACTTTTGACTAACCTGATTAATAAATCTGCCTGAACACCTACTGTGACTGGAAATTTGTCATTACTTTCCAAGGCAGCCTATTTGTGATCACAATTTAGAAAATTTAACATTAATATAACACTTAATAGCACCCGCAGCCTCTTGTTCCTTTCCTGACACTAACATGTATTAAGAGCCAGGCCATTTGTTTTGCAGTGTGACCCTCAATTTGGATTTGTTCACTGTTGCCTCATGAATACCGTATTTCCCCATCTATGAGACGCACCCTTTTTTGGAAAATTTGAGGTCTAAAAACTGGGTGCGTCTTATACAGTAGTTGTCGATTTTTAAACTTGCATTTCCCGCACGTGATGAGGAGTTGCATGAATTTTATGATGAATAAAACTTGAGTTCAATAACTTTATGTAATACTTTTTTTTCCCTTCAAATTCCGGGCCCCAAAATTAAGGTGTGTCTTATACATGGGGAAATACGGTAGATTCAGGTTAAACCTTTTTGGCTGGGATGTAACATAGGTGGTGCAGATGAGCCCTCAAATATAATAGAATCTGTAAATCACTGTTCTACTGAAATCTTTTGAGAACTTACATCCTTAGCTCACAAAAACTGTAGAGCCATCCCCCCGTATCACAATTATATGTTGAACTAAAATAAATCTCCACACCTACCTTTTTTCTCAATTTCCCTCGGATGTGACACAATCTCTTTACACCGTCAAAACACATCGCTTCTAGTCGCCCATTTCCCAACATTTTGATTACTTGTGCATACTCTGGGGAAAGAAAAGGAAAGGGTCTAAGATATTGTTCAACTTCTGATAAAAACAACTTAAAAATCCACATAAAATTGACATAGGTGTACTGGCTGGGAATAAATATATGCAATGAAGTAAACGCAAGGGAGTGATAAACCCCAAGCTAGTTAATAGCTGAGCCAGAACCAAGCGCGGTAATACCATTCCTAGAAGCCATTTCTGCTATCAAAAATGCTTTCATTATGTACTCATTTTGAGGAAGTGAACTGACTACTGCCTTCATAACTATGCTTTACTTGTGGAGATCAAGGTGGCTTGTCCCCAAATGTTCACTACACCTCCTCAAACTCTCACATTTGAATCCTCGCCCAACTTTGGATTTCCTTTCCCTCAGAACCTTTAGAGGCAAATCTCAACACAGTGTTTGGTACATTTGTCAAATAAAAGTAACTTAACATTAATAATGTCTTTGTTAAATTAGAATATCTTAGCAATTATTCTTAAGTTTTTATAAAGCCAGAAAGATGTTCTCAGGCAAAATGCCAAACTTTTAATTAAAATCTTTCCAAAAGGGTTCCCAGGAAGCCACCTGGCTTCACTGCCATCTGAAAAACTGAGATTATAAGGATTAGCTTGCACATGGGCCTGTCTCTCTTCCATCATCACATCACTTTGGCACCTTGGGTTTACTCAGGTTACATCAGACTAACCCCCAAAGATATCCATTAATGGGTAAATACACTGAGATGTAACTTAGAAAGGCTCGACTGCGGGGTGACACATGGAAGTGAGTTCCTCAGACTACAATGAATCCAGCACCAACATGGTCGGTCAATTAAAAGGCAGCCTCTCTTCTCTTCCAAAGTGGGGAAAAGGCATGAAAAAGAAAAAGTAGTGGCGGTCAAAATTAAGTCAGCTGCTAATGGAGACTAGAATGGCTAAAGCTGAGAAATGAAAAGGTCTTTTAGCCAGAAAATGTTTCATTTTTCAGTGGCTTCTCTGTACGGCATGAACAAATCCACCAATGTTCAACAAAGAGACGATAAAACTCTGTCAAAAAAAAGTGCTGAAAATTGGAATATTGGGAAATTCTGAATATGGACTATCTATTAGATATATATTCATGTTAAATTACTTGAGTGTTCTGTTGTAGTTATGTAAGAGGATATACCTGTTCTTAGAAAACACATGATCAAGTAGTAAGGGAAAAATCGTGATGTCTGCAACTAACTTTCAAATGGTTCAGGAAAAACACACACACACGAACCCAGATAAAGGGTTTAAGGGAGTTCACTGTATTAAATACTGCAACTTTTCTGAAGGTATGAAATTACTCAAAATAGAAACATGGACAACTCGTGTTACATATCTTGGTCTGGCACTCACAAAATCTTAATCGGATTTAAAAGGTCAGTCAACAGTTTAGTTTCTTTTTATTATGTTTTATGAAATGATATGCTAACAGCACTGGAGAAGTGAGCAAAAGGCTTGGATTCACCTCTCAAGTACCCATGGTCTGCTGAACATACCATGCAGCACCACTTACCGGTACTATCAAAGTCGGTCTATTAAATCATGGAATTGTCAATCATTGCTTTTGAGGCTTAATTCCTTCCCTCTGAACTGTACAATTCACTTAGTTATAAGTATTCATGCAAAATATTGAAAACTACACGTTTACAAAAATGCCACCGATCTTCAACGCAGACTGAGTATACCAAGAAGTGATTACCAAAAGCAAGGCTCTGGAGAAGGACGGGGAATGAGCAATGGAGAAGAGCAAAAAGGGACATGCGACCTATTGCTCAGGATTAGGAACGGTATCTTTTATGTTTATAAATTGAAATTCCATATTTAAAAAAGAAAACTATTACTATAAGAACCTAACTTACAAATACGCTTACCTTGTCCATCTTCTTTGAACACCAGCTCTCTTTTTTCAGATTCGTTCTCATTCTTACCCCTACGTCTATTTTTACCTCCTTTACCTAGTGGTGTTAAAGAAAGAGAAAGATGTTAATTATCTGCAAAACAGCAGGAAAAGAAACTAAACTGAATTAAAACTTTCAAAAAGTTAAAAAAAATCACTTAATTTAAAAATTCACTTAATTTGGTCACACAATCATATAAATTTCCTTTTAATCATATACATATTGTCACTCTCCTACCCTTCTTGGAAATTCCTTTTCAAATATTTCTGACATAAAATACAAAGAAACAAATCAAAAGCAGATATTATATAAACGTATATGTATATATAGATCGCTTTCTGAGGACATCTGCATTCAGGAGAATGGAGATGAGTCCATGGAGGTTCACTGCACTAGTCTACTTTTGTATATATTCAAAACTCTTCCTAACGTAAGACTAAAATAAATCGAGCAAGGTGAAGAAGACCATAAAGCCTCCACTGGTGTAAAAAAAAAAATTCATATTCATATTTGCTTATATATACATAACAAACATACCTCTGCAAGGGCATATACAAAAAAAGTTAAGTGATTGCCTGTGAGGAAGAGAACTAGTTGGCAATGGGAGACATTTAGAGAAGAGGTTTCGCTTTTTATACTTTTTGAAATTTGAATCATGAATACATTTACTATTAAAAATTTTTTAATAAAAAGTACTTCAACAAAAAGCAGAGGTGAGACAAGATCCTGAGTGGAAAAACTAGGAAGGAGGTTCCTGTCCTTATCACGCACTGAATGAAGTAGGGCCGAAAGTAACCTTGAAGAGGAAAGGAACTTCGAAGTAACCAAGATGTGCTTCCTTCAGTAGGCGAGTGGATAAACTGTGCTACAGCCATACAATGGAATATTATTCAGAGGAATAATAAGAGGACTATTTCTGAGATGGAAACAAGAGAATTGTTACCAGATGTACCGGGAGGGGGGAGCAAAGGATACATGGATGCCGGCAGCCGTCTGCGCCTCAGTATCTGACATGGCCAAACACTGCGATTGTGACAAATTCTGAAGCTCTCTGACTGAGAAACAGATACTGCTTTATATCTTAAAGAATTTAAATTCCCCTTTGGATGCCCCCCAGTAGGACGAAGATCTTACACCCCTTCTGATAGATATATCACAATAATTATATTTGACACACTAAAGGCAATTTTAGTCACACTGCTAGTCTCTTAGTAAAGGTCAAAGTACACACCCTGTAAATCTTGAGATCCTGCTTAGACAATAGTTTTTAGAATAAATGTTGGGTGGTCATGGTAACCATCCTTTAGGCAATTATGTAAAGGCTCAGGCCTTGGTAGCAGTCATTGAGGGTGGAGGGATTTGGGCGTAGTTGGGATAAGTTAGTCTTTAGCATAGAAAAGGTCTAGCTGTACCCTGGAGCATAAGAATTATGAGGAAGTAAAACCCTGATACTAATGGAACAATGGTTAAACTGCCCGGTATAAAAAGGGGCATGCTGTAAAATAAAGTGAGACATTTCTTGAAAAAGCGCTCCTGTGTCTCCGCACGTTTTTTCCTCGCCGACTCCGCCTCCACCTGAAGGGACCCCTGGACCTGCGGGAGCTGGTCTCCCGCACATGGAGCTTTCACAAAAACCTCTCAGGATCTGTTTCAGCCTCTGTGAAACCAGGGACTTAGAACAGCAGATCCAAATACCTACCATTTAGGATTCTAGAACTCTCCTATCTACTGGTGTCCTTAAAAAAAAAATAAATCTGTCCTTTTCCCTCCCTGCTTGTTTTTCATACTTTAAATAACGACACTGCTGATCATTTTTCTTTTTTCCAATTTTATTGGGGAGCAGCCATGGTCATCGGTGACACATTGCTTTCATGCTGCAATGGCACAGTTGACTCTGAGGAGGGCACAGCTCACAGCGGCCCATGCGGGAATCAAACCGGCAACCTTGGTGTTATCAGCACCACACTCTTAACCATCTGAGCTTAACCGGTCACCCTATTTTTCAACTCTCCTTTTCCTGACTTTTAAAAGGGCCACATGCACTATTCTCGACCTTTCATGAGCTCCCCTTCATTATGCCTATCTCTTTGGAGCGTCATTAAGTCCCACCCTCTGCTCACCCACTTTCCAAGAAAATTTGTTTTTCTCTTGCCTATCACTTCTATGCTAGTAAATTTACATCTCAGCCCACTATTTCAACTAAGCCTTGGTCTCATATTTCTAATGGCTCAGTACATTTCCAGTGAATGGGCTACTGTCACCTCAAGTTCAATTTTATTCAAAACTCAATTTATTTTCTTTTACAAAACTGGTCCTTAATCAATATCCTTGTTTCTGTTCGTGCTAACATAATTACCTTCAAGAATATAAGTCTCTCAACCTATAAACATGAACACCAATCTACCTCTCAACACTTCTACTTCATGCTTCAATCCAAGTAGGCTTCTTACTGTTCCAGTAACTGGCCCCCCCTAACTAGCTTACACCTATGAGATTTTGTCTTTATTTCACAAGAAATAATGATCTTCAAAAGCTTAAGTGATTTATTCGAGGCTGTGTCATGTGAAGTGATGTGAGATCCCAGTGACTATGTTCTTAACCACTATGCAGTGGCACTCATTTACTTGCCACAATCACTCTATGAGGCACTGTGATTTATCCCCCGTTTATGGGTGAGTTCATTCAACCTCAGAGAAGTAACTCATTTAACTTTAGTCAGCGAGTGGGGGGTGACCAGATTCAAATGTAATCTTTTTGTTCCTGGCTCCCACACTAGGAGAGATACTCGGTATCTCTCCACAGCATTTTGTTACCATTTCAGAACATAAAGCACATTGGCAGCCATTTCCAAAAGGTGGGAGAAAGGCTGTGATAATGATACTAAAGGACTCATGGGAAGAGCCTGGAAGCAGCAAAAATTCACAGGCCCAACAGAATAAAGAATGTGCACTTGGCCACTGTGAAGAGACACTCTTGCATCAAGTGCACTTACCCTGTCCTGGGGACAGTCTCACAATGCTCTGTGCTATTTTGAGGTGGGCCTCTATAATTTCCTGTCCCACCCAGAGCCCTCAGAGTTCAAAATTCGAGGCATTTTTAGGGCACACAAAAACTAATTTCCTAGGAAACTATCTTCTGCTTCAAGCCATTAATAATGCCACATCTTCAAACTACAGTGCAAGCTCCATTAGGGCGAGGATCAGGCCTGCTTTGTTTACTGAGTTATATCCCGGAGTTGGCAATTCTTTGAATGAAATCAGACAAGAGTGGTCCATGCATTCCTCAAGGAGTGGCAATTTAAAAATCAAAGGTAGTAACTTCCTCAAAGTGTGGGAGCACCTTACCCCAAATGTTCTTCTGAGTGGGCCAAAGGATACCCTTTTTCCTGAGGTAATAAGCTGACAGAATCTAGAGGAAATAAGCTACGAATCTGTCCAAAGCAAGTCTTTCGACACACAGTTCATGGCAATTTATGTCCTTATTTGCATAACCACCACCAAGATTAGAGTCACAGGGTTTCTGCCTTTCCTAATGAAGAAAAACATAAATATAAATTTATTTCTACATTAAACCTCATATCAAATTCTGTTCAAAAGTACTGTTCCTTCTCAAAAGTACTGCTCCTGTAAGTAAAATAATTAAGATAACATATAGGTTTTACATGTATAGGAATGATAAACACTAAATTCAGAATGGTGGTTACCTCCAGAAAGAGAGGAAGAGGAATGGGGAGGGGGACACAGAGGGTTTTAACTGAATCTGTACTGTAATTCTCAAGTTCAGAGTAATGGATTTCTAGATGTTTAGTGCCTTATCTTTAATTTTTGTATGCCTCAAATGTTATTTTACAAAAGACTGACTCATCGCTTCTCAATTTACCAGAATTAAACATACCCTGATCACCCCATTTTATTGTCATGTAATGTAATGAACTTTAAAGAAGGCTAGTGAACTAGATGTGATTTAATATACTGGGTTGTGGGAAAAGTCATGACGTGTTTTTCTGTTTTTCGTTGCAAAAATGCGTCACTACTTTTCTGACAACCCAACAGAAGTCCTGTCCCCTGTTCCCCCCAAGGGGAACCTATTATTCACTTAAGGGTGGAGTCAACAGAGGGAGGTGACTTAACGCAATAAATATTTATTGAGCATCTACTAAGTGTCAAGTGCTAGCAATCCAATGTGATTAAACAGATACAAGTACTATTACTGCCCTTTAGAGCTTACTGTCTATGAGGGTACTGGAAATCTCATCGCTAGAAATAAAAGTGAGAATAAGATACATACTGAAGCAATGCAGTTACCATCTGAGGGAATAAAGGATTATATAGTTTACAAGACAACTATGACTTTTAAAACCCTATTTTATCACCGTCTTTCCCAGAACTAGCAGTAAAATCCTTGCTACAAAAAGGACCCCCAAGTTAGATTTGTAAGGGCAGTAAAGCGGAGTGCCCTGAGGGAACTGCAACCAAATATCCCAAGGGATAAAATGAGTAGTGACAGCTACAGAGGAAATGAGGCAGAATCCCTGGAGCCAGCTTTCAGTAAAGTAGAAAAGAGAACAGAAGTAGGCCGCTGTCAGGGCAGGGGGTCTCAGGATGAATAATCAAAGGAAACTGCTTGTGGGTTGTGAAATACGCTCTTCTCTTGTCAGAAATTAGGTGTTGTTGTTTTTTTTCCCCAGTTCCTACTGGCACAATTTCCTTTGAAATTATAAGGATACTTAAAAAGCAGAAACGCCTTCAAGTCTAAAAAAGGGAGAATTTCTTTAGGGCTGTTGTTTTACCTAGACTAGGCCTTCCATTTTGGAGATTCCAAATAAACTCATCCTCAAGTCTGAAAATTTGCGAACGTTTAGCTTCAGATTGGAGGGAACTTAGAAGGTCTTTACTACTACCACTATACGTGATCTATAGCAAAAGTAGAAAACGTGGCTAAATATGGAACAAATGTTCGGGGGGAGGGGGGTGGTTAAACCCCATAAAGGGATGACGAAGAGTAAATCTCTAAAGAACCTTAAAAATGCATCAAGTTTTCATCCACTGTTTACAAGGGAGAAGGAGGAGTCTCAACAATATTCAACAACTGTCCATAAAGAAACCCACGCAGGATTGCCTGATGGTCACTTAAAGCAAGTATCACCCTCTGAAAGTTAAGAACTGCTTGCAGGGTTTAGCTCCTCTTGCTCGGGAAGGCCCAAAACGCCCATCTGCGGAGCCCAGGCCGCCCGGGGGGAGGTCTCCCCACGGGTCCCTACCGCGCCGCGGTCAGCCTGGCGCGAATCAGGAGCAAAAGCCCACATTCTCCCGCAGGAGGCCCTACAAAAATGGCGTCGGCTCCACCCCAATGTGACCAAATTAAAAGGCAGGAGTTAACTCCCCAGCTCCTGTCCCGAGCCAAGAATCGCGTCCGGTTCGCCCAGCCGCCTGCAGGCAGGGCGGAGAGGAAGGTCACTGCGGCCTGAGCTATTCCGAGGCGGCAGGCAGGGGCCAGGAGACCCGGCCGAGCGGAGTCGTGATCCCGCGGTCCAGGCGGCATTACCTTTATTCTTGGGCATGGCGGAGACGGCGGCCTCGCGGCGTCTCTGACTGCTATCTGGGCGGCGGCAGCGGTGGTGGCGACTCCTTCAAGCGGCGAGAGGGGCGACGCGTGGGACCGCGCAGTATCAAGCAGGCGCGAGAGGCCGGGTCGCGTGCGCGGCAGTCTCGAGATCTAGTTCTTCCGAGATCCGCCTGCGCCCACGCTCGGCCGCAGCAAATGGCGTCGCGGCTGCTTGCGTTGCTTTTCCCCGCCTCCCAACGCCGCCTGGGCCCGCCCTGCCACTCTATTACGCAGGCGTGGCCGACTGCCCCCTAGTGTTAGAACAGAGGAACAAGCGCTCCCGGAGCGGTCTCTGAAATTCAAAGAAAACACGGGGGCGGGGTCGTGAGCAGAGAGGAGGCGTAGTCGGGGAGGGAGCGGGCGGGGCCCAAACATCATATTAAAGACTAGATTCAGGTAGCGCCCGCTGCTGGCTGACAGCAGACCTGTGGGGCTTTGTGACAAACTAGCCGCTCTGGGTTTGAGTAGCCGACTCATCAACTCGCATCTCACATTTCAGTTTTAACTGGGCCCTTTTACCCGACCTTCCAGGCTGGGAGTCTGCTGGGAAGGGCAAGGCTTTCCTGTCATTCCCATTACGAAAGCATAATATTGTATTTGCATGACACTTGTTATTACTTTATAAATAGGTCTTCCTTGCCTCACTGCAAACCTTATTAGGAAGAGACCACATCTGTTGCTCACTATTACCAGTACTTAGCAGAATGTCTGGCACATAGTAGATGCTCAGCACGCACAGAAAGAAAGGGAAGGAGTGGGGGAGAAGACCTAAACTCAGTGTTATGGGCTGAATTGTGTACTCCCAAAATTCATATGTTGAGTTCCTAACCCCTAATATCTTAGAATGTGACTGTATTTGGAGATAGGGTCTTTAAAGAGATAATTAAGTTGAAATAAGGTCATTACTGTGAGCCCTAACCCAATGCGACTGGTGTTCTTATAAAAAGAGGCGATTAGGACTCAGGAACAGAGTGGGCACTCCACATGAACAAGAAAGTGGTTACCTACAAGCCAACGAGGGGCCCCAGGAGAAATCAACACTGCCGACAACTTAATCTCAGACTTCTAGCTTCCAGAACTGTGAGAAAATAAATTTTTGCTGTTTAAGCCACCCAGTCTGTAGTACTTTATTATGGTAGTCCCAGGAAACTAAGACAGCTGACTATGCAGGACGAAGAGCTTCACTTTTAAGTAGGCTTATTTTAAATAAATCACCTTCCTGCAGCCATTTGGGTTTCAACATTATCGCTCTAGGGAAATGGACACACCTAAGTGACAGAGAAATAAAGTACAATCATTGAACACAGAGGTTCTCTACTAGGGACATTTGAGGGTGTCTGGAGATATTTCTGGTTGTTACAACTGGGTACGGAGGGCAATGCTGCTGGCATCTAGTAGGCAGAGGCCAGGGATGCTGCTAAACATCCTTCAATGCACAGTAAGGACCCCCATCCCCCAAAAGCATTATCCAGTCCAAAACATTAATAGAGCTGAGGATGAGTAACCAATGATAGATGCACTTCTTAAGTGAAACTGAAAGATTATAGGGACTTAAAGTTCTGGGTTTCTCTTTCCATTTGCAATATTTTTCAATTCACACAATCGAGGATGAAACGATGTCTAAGAAATGTATTTAAATTTTGCTTCAAGGCCAAATGATTATGAACTTGGGCTTTAGAGTCAGAGAGACCTGGGTTCAAGTTCAGCTCTACAGCAACATATTACTCTATGACCTTGGACAAGTTACTTACCCTATTTATAAGTCTCAGTTTTATCATCTATAAATTGGGTGTAGGAATAGTTACCATATTGGTTTGTTGCGGGAATTAATTGATATAGTGGATTCAGTGTTTAGCAATTGTGCTTAACACATGGTAAGTAATCAGTTAGACTCTCAGTGTCTGGAAGTTCAATATAAAACTCCAAAGGAGAAAAAAAAATCAGGCTTCATTTGTCTATTATAGGATGGTTCCCCACATCTGACTGATGATCAGAATCCCTTGGAAGGAGGTGAGTCATGGAGACATCTGGGGGAAATGTGTACTAGGCAGAGGGAACAGCAAAGACAAAGCCCTATGGGGGCATGCTTGGCATCTTCAAGAAACAGCCAGAAGGTCAGTATGACTAGAATGCAGTGAGCCAGGGGGAATTTGGGGAGATGAGATCGGCGAGGTAAAGAGACCAGATCACTTGTTATTATCATTAGTAGATTCTGAACAAATCATTTTAGCTTTTGTCTTAAGAATAGACTGCAAAGGGGCAAGAAACAGAAGGGAAGAAATAGACACCATGCAGGAGGCTACTGTAATAGTCCAAGCAAAAGACAATGGTGGCTTGGACCGGGGTACAAGATTTCTTTGTGGGATGATGAGAATGTTCTAAAATTAGATTATGATAATGGTTGCGCAACTCTAAATATACTAAAAATCATTGAATTAATGTTTTTTCTTTAAATGGGTGAACCTCAAGGTATGTAAATTATCTCAATAAAGCTGTTTTAAAAAAGGAAATGGGAAAAATGGATCCGACCAAGGACAAATTAAAGAACTGACAAAGGGTACTGAGAGCTTACCTGAGATTTGAAAACACACATATACTTGCAGTGGAGTCGGTTTGCATAATTGTATGGTTTCTTCCAAGATATCAGTTATTGTTCAGTGGGTGCAGTATGAAGGCAAGGATATAGGGAAGTTTAGGGTGCCTCTGAGATAGAAATTCAGGTGATCAACTATAGGGCCACGAAGTTCAGTCTGGCAGCAAAGGAAATAATGGGGACTGGGGTGGGGGAAATCAAAGGGATAAAATCCAAATTCCTTAATATGACTTACTATGTCTGATGGTCTGCCCCCTGCCTATTTCTTGAGCCTCATGTCTTGCTTCTATTATGTCTTAAGTTCCATTCATACAGAACTTTTAATTTCTTGAGTGCTTCTAACTTTGACTCTGTAAGTTCTATTTTACCCTTCCTTCCCCTTTTAGGTCTCAGCATAATCATGGTTTACTTAGATCTGCCCTGATCCCTAGGCAGCTCTGCTATATATTCCTACAGCATCCTGCACTTCCTTTACCTACCTTTGCTAGACTGTGTCAATGCTATCAATTTAGGGTCCATTGACAACATTTAATATCTGGATCTGTAAAGCTACAGCAGAGTGACAACGGCTAATACTGCTACTCCATGTTGGCCTGTCTGAGAAGCCAGCTATTTCTCTAGATAACCATGGTAGGCCATCTAATGGACCCCAAAGATGTCCATGTCCTGGTCCCTGGAACCTGTGACTATGTTATTTTGCATGGCACCGGGAATGAAGGTTGCAGGTGCAACCTTGAGATGGAGAGATTATTCTGGATTACCTGAGTGGGCCAAATATAATCACATGAGGGTTTCAAAGTGGAAGAAGAGGAAGAAGAGAGGGGCCGGAGACATGCATGTGAAGAGGATTCCACCCACCATTGCTGGTTTTGAAAATGGAGGAAGGGGGCCATGAGGCAAGGAATGCAGGTGGCCTTTAGAAACTGGAAAAGGCAAGGAAACAATTTTCCCCTACAACCCTCAGAAAGGAATGCTGCCTGGCCGACACCTTGGTCTTAGCCCAGTGAGACCGTTATTGGACTTCTGATCTCCAGAACTGTAAAGATAATAAATATGCATTGTTTTAAGCCAGCAAGTCTGTGGTAATTTGTTACAACAGGGATAGAAAACAAATCGAGGAACATTCTTACGTTGCTCCCATATAATGCCAAGTAGACCTTGAAGCTGTTCCTCTTAACCTGAATACCGAAATTAATCCAAGTGGATAGCCCCTAAACCATCTGTTTTGGGCTGAATTTATCTCCCTCCAATTTCCTATATTGAAGCCCTAACCCCCAGGACCTTGGAGTTCAGGTCTTTAAAGAGGTAATTGAGTTAGAACAAGGCTGTTAGGCTGGGGCCCTAATGTAATATGACGTGTCCTTAAAAGAAGAGGAAGACACCAGGGCTGGGACGACCGCATGAAGAGGCAGCAAGGTGGCCATCCGCAAGTGAAGGCGAGAGGCCTGAGAAGAAACCAACTCTGCTGGCACCTTGATCTTGGACTTCCTGACTCTAGAACTGTGAGAAAATAAATTTCTGTTAAGCTACTGAGTCTGTGGTATTTTGTTGTGGTAGCACTAGCAAACTAAGACACCATCATAATAAAAAACTACTAAAAATGTCAACAGGGAAGGAAAGGGCTAACTGCAGGTCTAAAACCCATTCCCTCCCTACCAGGAATCATAGACCTCAAATTTCCTTTTAAACGTGCTAATGATATTTACGAGCAGAAAGGAAAGAAAAAGTCCTTATCTCTAAAATGCTTTTAGCAAGATACACTTGGTCTATAGAGATGGCTTATTGTAAAACCTGGATTTTATGGATTTATGAGGCATGGTTGGTTGGAGAACAGGAGCTCACCATTTCAATTTTGTAATTAATGAGGCATAAAAAGAGGATGTTGCAAACCCAAATGACTCCTTGTTTAAACAGCATGTCTACATAGTACATTGCTCAGAGAGAAACTTCTCCTTTAACTCAATCCAAAATGTACCATAATGACGGAGAAAAAGGTTATTTGGAGCTAAATCTGACAATCTTGGACTTCTCCAAGGAAAGATTCTCATCTTTGTCTGGTGATTACCCTGTATCCTTTGAATGATTTAATCAAGTTTGGTATTGGGTAAGATCTATGACTGATATGAGTCTGATTTGACAAACCTGAGGCTAACCAAAGCTTTGCATAGGAAAATTATTTTGTACGTCTCATTAATTCAGAATTACTGTTTTAAGCTCTATCAATCCAGTTTGATAAATTTATACTTTGGATAGACTAATTTGACAATATGAAGGATCATCATGTACTTGAAATAATGTGATAAAGGAACATACATGCATTTATTTGAAACTTTATTATATAAATTTTCATTTCTTTTAAAGATTACAAAACCTGTTCTGTGACAGGAATACAAGCAATATTGTTCCAGGATTATTCATGGATACATCTGAAAGAGCTTAGATTACACATTAATAGTATGATTTGAAAACTTCCAGATTAGACTCTTAAGTAAAACAATTTAAAGTATTCAGTGATATTTAATCCTTTACAAGCATTTCATAATTATGGCAGCAGTGCCAAGCATCTGATGCGATTGAACCACCAATAAAAGGTACAATACATATGAACTCATGATATGGTACCTTGGGCTTCTGGCATGCTTTACTAGAGAGAAACTAGTATAAAGTAAGATCATATATAATAGTAGAAAAATACTTGTGATTTTTTTTAAAAACTGTTTAAGTAGATGCCCACCCCATTCCCACCCATGGCCAAAAATGCAAAATAATTACATCCCTTAGGTGTATACCTTCTTAGGGTAAGAGTTAAGATAAACCTAACACATGTACATAATTTTAAGACTTAAAAACTCATCACCCATAATTATTAAGGATGCTAAGGAATGGCAATACCTTGAAGCTTTTGTAAAATAAAAAAAAAACACAAAGCTTTAGATGATAAACTACACTTAGAGAAACACAAACCAAAACCTTTATCCTTATGCCCTTGATTTGTATTTAAAAGTTCTACTTTAAATACTTGTTTCAAAAACTCAGTATACAGTTCATTCAGTACTATAGTGATAATAGGAGTAAAGATTTTCACTTCCATTAGATATTGATCTAATCTACTTAGAGGACTATTATAGCAACTCTCTTCTCACATGTTTACATATATTGTACTCAAATGGTATGTGCTCTAAAGAGGTTTTCTTGAGGTTTGCACCCCTGAACTCAGTCTCTAAATTTTCCTTTCCACTAATCTCTATTCAATGTCATATACTTTGCTAGTTGCTCTGGGAGAAGTCATTGACATTTAAACAGCTTATCATGCACTTCAAGGTTACATGGCAAAATGAGGAAAGTGCCTTAAGAGGTAGGAAGTAGGCTCTTATCCCAACCCTTGGTATGCCGTTATGAACAGTTAAAAGACTGGAATCAGAGTGGTAAATGTGAGACTGATAGTAATACAAGGCTTAAGAAAATTAAGTCAACTTAGTTACTAGAACTCTTTGAGAACACTCAGTCACATTGGAACCAGTTACAAGTCACTCAATCACACAGAATACAGCAGTGTCAAAAATACATAAAGCACACTGTAGATACAAATTCTTCTTGGCCGTCCATATTTAGGCATTATCATTCTGTAGATTCTTCACTAGAAAAAGTGGTTAAGCATGGCTCTGCAGAATACCACAGTCCCAAGAAAGCGAATTTCATTCCTTCATTAATTGGTCTCCACCAGTGGTCACTTGGGGAGACCAGAAAAATGTAAGCGATCTGGAGGTGAAAAGAGGACTATTTTCATTTATTGAAATAAAAATACCGAGTTAAGTCAACTTATCTGCGAATTAAATAAGGCTCAAAGTATGCGTCCAGTTTGCTGGTCACATGGAGTTGGACCTTTCAGAGGGACAGAACTCTAGGACTAGATCGGAACCTCCTGGTTTAAGCACCAAGGGTCAGCCACGAAACCCACTGGATTTGTTTATCACAGAAAACAGACCTTTTCTGACCCTTTACATTCCTGAGATATCTGTCCTAATGCCTTCATAAATTTCAAATGCTCGATACTACCATAAGAGAGGATTTTCTCTATAAAACATAGTAAAGCAAGTGGAAAAATTTTAGGACATTTATAAAGGCCAGCAAGTAGAGACTATCAAAGCCATGTTGAGATGTGTCTTGTTGGCTTCCATGGTGATTAAGCCCATCTGTACCAAGGCCCCCAACTCTTCAATGCTTTTCTGCTCTCACCCCAGGCTGGACCTGCCCTAGCCCCTTGCCTACCCAAACCATTCTGCCTATTCATGAAGCCTTTGCACCCCCTCCCCCTTCACATCTTTCCTGGGCAGAGGGTGCAAGGCACAGCTACCAGGCCAGCCCTACCTCCCAGGATGTCCCCTGGCCCCAACAGCAACCACTTCTTAAAAATGGATGGGAAATGGTTGACCCAAACTTGCTCTTTGCAGCCCACCACATGTGAAATGTGGAATCTCTGCCCTAAACACACCACACCCTCTCCACTCACTCACTAAGTGACTTTTCCTACACATCAGCCTCACAGCATCTCGACTCTGTGCGTTGTCAAAAATACTACATTTTTGGACTTGTGGGAGATTGCTTGTGAATAAATGAATCCGTATCAAATCTATTCAAGTTAAGGGTGTATTGCATGTAGATGGAAGACATCTCTACAAATTAAAAGGAACGGAAATAATTTATATGAAAAATTAAAACAACAAAAAACTTACCTTAGTTTTAACATCATCACTTGAAAGGAAAGATACAAAACACATGGTAGTATAATCTTATTTTCCAGTATGTGATTGGCAATGTTAAATGTAATCTACCATTCTGGGGGTTGTTTTGGATTACAAGCTAAGAGGAGGTTTGTGAAAGTGACCTGATATTTAGTTTAGTTCCTTCTTTCACATTGAAATATCTTTAAGACTGAACTAAACCTCCTAGGAGCAGCCCTGGTAACCAGCAGCACTAACCGGAGAAGGGCCTCACTACCGCAACTATAGGGGCCAGGAGGAACTGAACTTGGAGAAATGAATGGAAAGGTTAGCCCGGCACAAACACTACATTTAGAGCACATTGTTGGCCAAGTTTGTCTGCTGTAAGTCAAAGGCAATAGGAACACCACAACCACAGGTAAAACGAATTATGCTCATGAACTGCTTTTTAGGCAGAAAGCCTTCAGTTTTCTGAACATATAACTTACTTTTCTCCAATAAAACTGGTAGCCGGACTAGGCAAAGAAGGCAATATCTTTGAAAGCAAAAAACTTGGCCTTCATATACCAGTAGAGGACTGCCCCAAGAAATATGTAGTTTTTGAACAACTCAGCTCCTGCCTGGGTGATAATAATATGAAGGGAAGGCAGCATGGTGCTATGAGGGGGGAAAAAAACTGAATGGTAAGTTAAGAATTCTAGTTTTTGCTTTGGGTCACAGGTTCTTCACATGCAATATGAGAAAGTTGGACTAGATGACTTATAAAAATTTACACATTTACTTCTGCTTCTAAAGACTATGATGGATGGTACACATGAGCAATTATGGGCTAGCATGTCAAAAATCTGAAAATATATGCCCAGAGTTACATTAACATCTTAAAAGCCACAAGAATTTGGAATGGCCGTGGTTTGAAACACTGAATAGACAGAGACACAGAGAGACAGAGAGAGACAGAGAGAGAGAGAGAGACAGACAGAGAGAGAGAGAGAGAGAGAGAGAGAGAGAGAGAGAGAGAGAGAGNAGAGAGAGAGAGAGAGAGAGAGAGAGAGAGGCGCTTTCTCTCCAGGCAATGGAAAGCAGCTTTTAATAGTTAGCATCCATATATTCAATAATTTAAAAAAACTTTCTCTATCTTCTGAAATCTCTCCTCTTATAAATTTTTTTATTCAGAAGATAAACTTACACTTGATTTCTATGCAGTAATCATTTTGTGCCACTTAGGCAAAAGGAATGTTACAGATTTTCCCTTTCTCTTTAAATGTAGGGGAGAAATTAAGAAATAACAAGTGGCTTCCAAGATAATTAGATAGATCACACTTTCTTGGCTCTGTACTCTCAGGGAAAGGTTTAGAGCTTCTGGCAAGACAAAAGATTTCCGATGTAAATGGCTTAGTATATGACTAAGAAAGATCTGTTTGGGCACATTCTTGATGAGGTAAGTTAAATCACTTTTTCCTTGCTCCTATGTTTTTCATATTACATATTGATGTATGCTAGGTAACGTGGCAAAGATACAGGTAATATTGGATACAGAAATGTCTTTAATCAAATAAAATTATGGAAGCTACCAAACTAGATGTAGATAATGACTACTGTAATCTAGGCAGACCCAGTGACCATTATGAAAAATGATCATTTCTGAAGTTAGAGGGAGCATTACATGGCTATAATCATCAGGAGGAATTCGGAAAACACTCAATGCTGAACATTCACTTAGCCTACCTTTGCTATGATTTCAGGTTAGAACAGGTATTGTTTGATCAAGAATGTTTTATTCCCTAGAACAAGAAAGTTTAAACCCAATTTCATATAGAGGCCTGTGGCTTTTATTACATTCAGGTTAGTGTTTAATATAGAGTATCGTAATGGGATAGAACTCATTATGATTTACCTTTTTTCCAAAAAAAAGCATACTTTTCTCACAGGTGTATACAGGTATCCTGTTGTTCATATGCTAAATTCTGCAATTTGATCATTCTAAACATGAAAAATATCCAATGGAACTTGAATGACCTGTTAACTACACTCTCCTTTGCCAATCTCTTCACCCTGACTCTGAAAGGCTGTTGATGTATATTGGCAAAATTCCAAATTATATGCCAATACTAAGTATGGATACTATTTAAGATTAAAAGTGCAAGAACTACTTCCTTACTTAAAGAAAAAGGAACCCTAGGGAGTTGCAAAGTATATGGACTAACTTCATAGGTGTACTCTTGATGTCATGCCATACACATATAACGTTCTTTACTATCACAGCTGTCTAGGTTAGTCTGACAGAGCACCTGACTTTAAGAAACAAACAAACGAACAAACCAGTGAAACAGACATGGGGAAAGATATGTACATTTTGGAAGGATTACATTCAACAGCTGTTCCACAATCTGGCCATTTTTAGGGCTGTCCAACAATACTGTTAATCCAGGTGAACTATTTAACCAGATTTAATAGTCAATTGATTAATAATAATAGATTCCAAGTTAAACAAGGCATGTATACATTAAAGAAAGCAGTACAGAAATGTACTGTATATGAACTGTTTACAAAAACATACAAAATGTTGGATGGCACAAGGAATACAGTGCTAATAGAAACGGATTAAGCTAAGTGCTTAACATAAACTGTCCATCCCTATCACTAACAAAGAATATTTAAGGGACATGAAGTATTTCCTATAAAAATAATGCTATATGGTGTAGAGTACTTTATTCAGTGTATTTTTAGGTGGTATTCATCTGTTCATTCTTCTTTTTATTGATTCAGTGAATATATCTTCGTCGTTTTCCATTTTCATTTCATCAAAGCTCCAGGAAAATCTAACTTGCTAACAATCATTAAAGCGAGAAGAGACGAAAGCGGGAGCAGCAGCAGGAGCAGCAGCATTATGGGTACCAGCTGGGACAGTGTGTGCTTGCAGGTGTCTCTCAGATATGTGCTACCTGTCGCCAGAACTTGTGCTATCAGCTTACATCATGGTACCAAACATATCACTGAGGTCACTTCACAGGGCTGTGGAGGTGATTTTTTTAATACCTCTCCGCTGAGCAAGAGTAGAGCGGCCTACTGGTTCCAAAACTGGTGACTGATTACGGTTTAAAGCAGAATATGTAGCTGCCATGGCACCCTGAAGACAGGAAAGGAAAGTCAAAACAAAAATGACAATGGGGAGTCACGCATGCAGAATATGAAGATTTATTTCCCCAGATAACTTCTTCATTAGCAAATTTAGGTAGATTGTATTAGGCTCCTAATGAAAATAACCGCACTCCTCAAATCCTCTGATTTAACTAACACTGAAGAGGCCAATGTGGGAGGTTGAAATTATGGGTGACAGAGAACAGGGATGGCCTTATAATGAGCAAGCCTCACTTTTCTCAGGACTATTCAACTTTTGTTTCTTTGCCATCTTTGACTATGAGAGGCAGCGGGCATGCTCTTTCGGAACTTGTGTTTTGCCCCTGGTGACAACCTTAAACTGCTTTGGGTTGTGTATAAGAAAGAAAAATATGGCGAGCCGAGAAGTTAGGAAATCCATAAGCTTATCTGATTGATAAATTCAGAAATTAAGAAGTCATTCGTAAACTAGATTTATGACGATAATCGGCATGGCTTGCCTTTTTCTTTCCTAAATCACCCACTGTGAGAGAAGCCCACAGGAGAACTGGATGCAGGCCGAGAGGGAGAGGAGAAGGTGTGGTAGCATGGAAAGGGCGCCTCAGTCTCTCCCGGGGGACACGTGGATATGGTCTGAATGAGCTGCTCACCTTGACCAGATGTGGTGCGTCCTGTCTGTTCAGTTGGTATTGTGGCAGTTGGTCCCAGTGGACTATCCAAGGGTGTCTGAGCACAAGGGCAGCAGTCAGTCTCTGATGAGGGTCCACATGAAGCATCTTTGACACCAGGTCCTGCAATGGGAAGAATAACACAAACTTAAACCTTTCTTCTTGTTTTCTATAGCACTTGACACTGCTGAACATTCTTCCTTACTATGACACTATTTTTTTCTGGCAGTAGGTAGATCTTTGGGCTCGAAGCAATTTGGTCAGCATGACAATTTGTTTAAAAAAAAAGCAAAAACCTAAGTCTCTGTTCTCTCCTGAGTGATAGTAATTTTGGTGCATTATAAAGGGTAAATTTACCACAGTTCACGTATCTTTAAATACTTTGGCTCTTTTTTCCCCTTAGATATTCTGAGGTTTCCACATTTTTGTAGGTTTACTTTTAACTAATTTTCAGCTACTTAAGACTTTTTGTGCTGCTGGTAATACTGAAAAGCAGAACTGTCTAATAACAGGAACTTAATTGGAGGGTTCTAAATGCCCCTCCCAAGATTACAGACTTTAATTTTTTTTCCTGCTTCAAAAGCAACTCATGGGCATTATGGGAAAATGAGAAATACAGAAAAGCAAAAGAACATGAATAACACCCAGAATCCCATTCTTCCCGAGACAAAGGCTTTCTATCTACCCAACTGCTCTCCTATACATGGACTATAGATCCATATAATTGTTACATAGTTTTATACCCTCCCAAATAACAGGATTGTGATTTCTAAAAGCCATGTACCACTTTTTAAATTTTCATTTAAAATATATCTACCAAATGTCCATTAAGGCCAGGCATTCTGCTAGGCATTGGGTACTTAGCAGTGAACAAGAGAGAAATGAACTGTGACCTGATGGAGCTTTCAGCCCCTTGAGGGAGAGGCTAAGATTACAAAGCAAAGCACATAGGAAGTTCTCTGATGGGGTGAATAAATAGGAGGGCAGCTGGAGAAACACACAGAGACCTGACCTGGACAGGGTAGGGTGGCTTTTGAAGTGACTTCTGTAGAGGAGTGTGAGACCTGAAGGATAAGCAGGAGCTGGATTGGAGAAGGGAAGGGGAAAAGAGCATTTCAGGGAGATAGAACCGAGTGTGTTTGGAGGAAAGCCCTCAGGTAGCAGAGAACATGTCAGTTAAGGAGCTGAAAGGAATGCAATGAGGCTGCAGCACAAATTGTCAAGGAGAACACGGCAGAAGATAAAGTAGAAGAGGTAAGAAAGGAACTTGACCGTGAAGGCCCTTATAAGCCATATTAGCACATTTGGACCTTTTCTGGGGGCAACAAATCATTTAAAGCAAAGGAGTGATGTGGTCAGGTTTGGACTTTAGAGAGATTACACTAAGTGTGGAGGAAAATGGATTGGAGCGGGTAAGCCTGGAGACTCCAATTTGAGGCTGGCAAGAGAAGATAGCTTCGAGGGGGTGGGTATAAAAGATGGAGAAACATGGATGGAATTGAGATACTTAAGAGAAAGAACCAACAGACCCTGGCAGTTACCTAGATATTGGGAACTGGGGAGATGTTATTCCAAGTACTCCTCTGCTATTAGATATTTTTTTAAAAAATATGGAACGCTTCACGAATTTGCGTGTCATCCTTGCGCAGGGGCCATGGTAATCTTCTCTGTATCGTTCCAATTTTAGTATATGTGCTGCTGAAGCGAGCACTGCTATTAGATATTTACAGTTTCTTACTTTTAGTTCTCATTAACAGCTAAGAACATGAACTGAACAGAATTAGAAATAAAAGTAAAACAATTAGGGACCGCCCCTTCCATATTCTGAATGTGGGCAACTGTGCTTCAAGTGAATAAAAGGCTGCAAAGCTGCTCAGGGGCACGACCAAGCTCTATTACAATTTTAATCAGATATGTATGTTAACCAGTGCACTTTTGGCCAAGTCACTTCGAACCACTACTCTTCAATGGCTTACTCCTTCTAAGTCTTCCTCTTTAAATAGTGGTGCTCCCTGAATTCCTTCCATTGCTCTTATCAGTCGGCTCTGATAAACTCACTCATGCTCAGGGCTTTAGCTACTATGGATGATGAAAACTCCTAACTTCAATGTCCGCCCCAGACTTGTGTACTAAGATCTACATCCATATAGCCAGTTGCCTAATGGACATACAGCTTGAATTATACATCACAGAAGCGTTCAAATTCATAATGTCCAAATCTGCAATCATCACTCCTCTCAAAATGACTTCTTTTGTATTCCACATCTTGGCGAAGAATGCCAGTACCCACTCATTTGCCCGAGGGGGACATGTGGACTGCACACTTGACATCTGCTTCTCCCTTGCTTCTTCTGTCCAATAAACCACTGAGTCTATTCTGCCTCCTAAATTTTTCTTCCATTTGGCTCATTTCCCACTACAACTGTTCTAGTTCAGATCCTCCTCTTTCACGACCCAAAATACTGCAAAACCTTACAAGTAATGCCCTATTAGATCAGCGAAGGCTGAGTGAAATAATGTAGGTAAAAGTGTTACCACAGTCGTTGGCATGTAAGTGCTCAGTCAGTGGTAGCTATGGTCCTGTTCTTCTCAAAGCCACACATGACACATATGGTCCATGTGACTGATGACATTCACATATGCAACTTGCTCTTGATAGAGCACCAGATTGATAGAGTCCTCTATCCCAATTTTGTGGGTATTCACTATATTACATGATGCTTGTAATCAAAAGTCTTAGCTGGACAAATTAGCAAAAGTTATTAGTAATAACATGGTATTTATAAGATAGGCTGTGAGTTGGATGCAATTTTTAAAAAAAAGATTTTATTGGGGAATCGGGGAAGGGGAACAGACAAGTCGCTGTCCTTTTGTTCCTCAGTCTAGTTGTGGAGGGCGTTGCTTCACTGGCCCATGTTGGTATTATCATTGCGCTCTTCCCGGCTGAGGCAGTTGCTCGCTGGCCATTGGACGGCTGCTCACGGCGGCTCACGGCAGCTCTCCCCAGCTGCCGGCTGCCCATGGTAGCTCACGGCAGCCCACTGCAGCCTACGCCATCGCCGGCGACTCTCGAAAGCCCAGCTCCAGGTTGAGCTGTTGTTCACCATCTTAGCTGTAGAGGGCGCAGGGTCACTGGCCCTCATGTGGGATCCGAACCGGGGCCCTGCTGCTCAGAGCTGGAGTCCCAAGCCAGCTGTTAACCAACGCGCCACTCGGACGGCCCTGAATGCAATTTTTGGGCTCTATTTGTATCTCCTCCTCACTTATGTTTCTCTTTCACGCAAAAAAGCATACTGGAATGCAAGTGAATAAGAACTTATAGAAATTAGATAAATAACCCCGACTTGCTTTAACTTATTAAAAAAGCAGGGAATGTGTAAGCTCTGATACTTTATTACAGTAACATTACTTGACATGCCTCCCAATTGATTATGACAAAGTTTGTGGCAGGCTCCATGGTTAAGAATTACTGCTCCACAGAAGTGAACTTGAAAAAGGAAAATCTGATTACTACAATGATCAATATTTTTCAACAGCTCCCCAATACCTAGAGTGAACCCCAAATCCTGAGAATGGTCTATAAAGCCTTTCATAATCTGGGCTCACTGGCTCCCGTCTCACGTGTACCCTGTACTCGTCCTATCAAACCATTTTAGCCCCCTGGAGGCATTCTGCCCTTCCTGTGGCATCATGAATATGAATAGCATGTGCTCCTCCCTCAGTCTGGGATGGACAACATCCTTCTGCTCCCCAAAGCCACCTGGCAAATCCCTTCATTGCTTCTGGAAAGCTTTCCCTGAAATCTTTCTGACCGAGCATCACCTGTGAACTTCTTTAGCACAGAAAACGTACCACTCACTGTAACAGCACACATAGCACTGTTAACACTATATTTTTGGCCATTTCCCAACTATATGGTAAGCTCCCTGAGATCAGGAATTCTATCTGAGTCACATCTTTTATCCCTGGAGCCTTCACTCATTAAGCGCATTATAGGTGCTCAGCACATGAATTAAAAAGGAAACAAGTACCCAGAAAAATGAATTATCTGGTTTAAGAAACTTCATTGTTAAGAAAAGGGAAAGACTAACATTTCATTTTAAGTGAAGTTATAAAACCGAATATTATCTCCACAGACATTATACTGGTTAGCTGAGGCTCCATCTCTGTCAAAAGTATCTATATAGGTACATTTCTGACATACCCTATTTATTTACGCAATCACATCAACTCAAGCTTCCACCTCTAAGAAAAATCAGCACTTTTACTAGTATCTATCTTCTTCATCTTCTTTATGTTCTCCTTATTTTGAAGTGGAAAACTTTGCTCTTCTTTTTAAAAGAGAATTTTCTATGAATAGGGTGAAACTAAAGTAGAGTTGGAAAGCAAGTCAGTGCTATTCAGGGGATGGCAGATCTTCCAGTGAGAAAGGCTTTTCAAATGAATTTCAAGCTGACACTATAAAACTATCCTACCTTTTATTGTGAAAAAGATAATACCCCTTTCTTTATAACATGGACCAAAAATAGGACATGGTATAGTTATTCTAGGGAACAAGGGCTTTGGAATCAGCTATTTAGTTTGAAGCTCCCACACATACCTGGTGTGTAACCATGGACAAGTTCACACTAAAATTCTGGGCTCTGATTTCCTTCTGTGAAATGGGGGTACTACCCTCTATTTTACAGGGTTAAGAGGATTAAATGGGATAATTTAGGTAAAGTGCAGCATGAGGCACATAGTAAACACACACATCATGAAGACTACCACCATTATTAATCATCATATTCCTCAGTAAGAAGTTCAGATGTACAGATAATAAAGTCAAACCAATGCCTTCTGGGAAAGAAACAAATTAATTGGTCCATTTTTTATTTCAAGTTATTTGGTAGTATCACTTCAAAATATTACTTTATAAACAAAAGTTTCTAACTTATTTATTCTCACCAAGGATTATGAAAAATTATTTTCTCAAAAACTTAACAACAGAAAGCCATATTTACCTTTGCGGTGTCTGAAACAGAATTCCAGTAACCACCACTGAGTGAGAATTTGCCGCTGCCTATGCGTGCCAATATTTCCTCCGGTGTATCATCAGGGCCATTTGCAAATGGAGTGTAACTAATTTATAATAAAATTAAAATGTTAATGAATAAAATTTCTTTTTAGGTTGGTAATCTTTATTTGCAGTGTCCAAAAGTACTCTGAGTAATTTAATTAATGTAATACTTTATTGAAATCATAAAGTGAAAAATATCAACAACATGAAGCTCCACAAAGCACCACATCAAGGTAGAAGTTATGAAACATTAATTAGGCTTAATACACAAATATATAAATATTTTAAGATATGACACACTGTAAGATAAAATACTTAAAATCATGTATGTTTATGACATAACGAGAGTACAAAAAAGGTATGGAAAAATCAATTTAAGACCTCAAGGCATAAATAAATAATACATTATAGAAAATTAGTAATGATATAGCTTAAGTGTGGTACACACACACACACACACACACACACACACACACACAGGATTGTATCAGAAAACATGAAAAGATAGTACAACACAGAGATTAAAAAAATAAACCTAGATAATACAAACAAAATATTGATGACTAAATGATTACAACATATGGTACACACTTACCCAGTGAGCATTGTATAGAGGAGGACACCAAGACTCCATATATCACAAGCAGCATCATAGCCTTGTCGTTTTAAAACCTAGAAAAAGTAAAAACTAGTATGAACACACTGCTGTTTATTTATAGCTTTAGATAGGCTGTGGGAACTGAATTATATCCCCTAAATCAATGCATAAGAAAAACCTCAAGAGAACATGATTAACAAACAAGGTAATATATTAATCCTATTCTAGAACTTTCTATGACTAACAATTCATATATATATATATATATATATATATATATGTTACATATATTATATATATATATATATATATATATATATATGTTACATATATGTAACATATATATAATGTATATATAGAACCAACAATTTATACACATTTTAAGAAAGGAAACAACTGTATTAAAATTACACTGATGGCAACCACTTTGAGCACCTCTTATAATTGCAGAAGTCAAACGTGACTTGTATTCATCTTTTGTTATCGATATACATTGAATATTACAATTTTAATAGTTTTTTCCTTTCTTAAAATGTGTATACATTTTTTGGCACCATGTGTATGTATATGTGCGTATATATAAATAAATTTTGGTATTGCAATTAACATTTATTGAGTGCTGCCATGGTACACAGAGGACTATAAAACAAATTGAAGGTAAGTTTCTTATTTCAATGAATTTCCATTTTGTATGGGGCTGCAGAAATGGTTACACAAAATGATATTTTTAAGAACACATATAACTTAGTACAAATGATATAGTGCAAAATTGTATATAATTTGATTCACTCAAGCATTTAAGAATCACCAACTATAATCAGGCATGAACTGTGACAAATACAAAACAACTCTGGTTTCCTTAAGAAAATCAGAATCTGGCAGGGGAAAGAAACATATATATATAGTTAACAATTCAACATGATAAGTATTATAACAAAATTATGTCTAAAGTGCTATGGGTATAAAGATGAGGAAGCAATTCATTCTTGATAGGAGAGAGACGGAAATCTAGGAGACAGCCTGTTTATATTGGGCCTAAAAGTAAGAATTCAGGAGGCAGGGGGAGGAGGTGGGAGGGCAGAGGACACCCAAAGGGCAGAGACAAGAAAGCAGAGCATGCTTAGTGACAGTTCTGTGTGGTCAGATCTCCAGGACGGTGATATGAGAGACTGAAGGGCTTTTATAAACATCTTGCTAAGGAATTTAGATTTTTTCCCTGTAGGCAAACAGATGTCACTGAAGTATTAAACAGGGACATAAAATAAGTAGATCTGTATACCAGAAAGATAATGCAAGGTATAGAGGAAATGCTGACAAGAAGAGAGACTGGAGACAAGGTCACCGGATGGCAGGCAATTTGTTGCAAACTAAATAAAAGACTCTGCAATCTGCACTAAGGCAGGATATGAAGAAGAACAGATATAAAAATAAAACAGAAAGTATTTTCTGAGATTGGATGTACTGGGTAAGGGGAAAGGGATCTCAAATACTTAGGAATCAGAATGGACAGGATTTGGCAATAGACTGGATGTAGAGATATGGTAGATATAGGGAGGATTTCAGCAGGACTTCAAAGTTTAAACTTGGATGACTAGGAGACAAAGAGTTAAAAAGGTCAAGTCTAAGGAGAGTTGGGCCATGGAAGACTTCCGGAAGAAGATGAATTTAGAGGCAGGTTTTGAAGCACAAAACAATCCAACGGGCCAAGGAATGGTTACATCATGATTTCAAAAAGCAGGAAGCACTAAGGAGGAAAATGAGATGGCGCGATTAAGTGACCATGCTTGGACCGATATGTGTCAGAGGCTGTGGATACGTGGACAAACAAGCAAAAAATCTGTCCCCCATCAGTTCTAGTACCACCGGGAGAAGAGATACAAATATTATATCTAAATATTATATCTAAAAAGTAACAAAATTTCAACACGTTTGGAAAATAAAGAGGGAAAATCCAACTGTATAATGCAGCTATCCTAAGACTGCCAAGTATTATCATTTGAAAAATCTAGCACATGGTAAAAGCACAGACTTTGCAGCAAGACTGCCTGGGCTGAAATCTAGGTTTGACTGCAGGCAAATGACGTAACTTCTCACTGTGTACCTGGTTTCCTGTAAAATGTGAATAAAAGTACTCAGCTCACATAGTTATAATGAGAATGAACTATTATATGTAAGTTACATGTTGTGAGGGTGAAATCAGTTAATACATGTGTCTGGCACATAAGCCCTATATCAGGGTTTACCATTATTTTCTATTATCTTGCTCATAGTTACATTTTTTTTACAGTGATAAAAAGGCAAGAAATCTTGCGGGCAAAACAGTGGATTTTTTTGGTGGGAACTGCAATTTCTTAAGAAAAAAAGCAACTTGACGAAAGCAATGCTTGAAAAGGACCTCAGGGCTGGCCGAGTGGCTCAGTTGGTTAAGAGCGCGCTCAAGAGTGTGAGCTCTGAGCAACAGCGTTTCGATGCCCGGCCTGAGCTGAGCTGTCACTGAGCTGCCAACAGGTGGCAGGACGGCTCAGCTAAAAAACAAAAAAAGGGCCGGCTGAGTGGTGCGTTGGTTAAGAACTGGCTTGGGATGCCAGAGGGCCCCGGTTCGGATCCCACATATGAGGGCCAGTGACGCTGCCCTCTACAGTGAAACAACATCCTCCACAACTAGACTGAAGAACAAAACGACAGCAACTTGTCTGTTCCCCTTCCCCCAATTCCCCAATAAAAATCTTAAAACAAAAAAACCCCCATAAAACAACAACAACAAAAAAAGAAAAGGACTTCAATAGCTTTGTAGCTCTCTTGTGGAATGCTCACAGAATGACCGGAGGGAGCAAGGTGTGCTTAGGCTGCGGCGAGGGAAGCAGGGGCTAGGATGGCAGCGCTGTGAACGCGAGAACCACCAACTGGTTTTAGGGGATAACAGAGATGGTAACTAGTTAGGTAGCTAAAGAAGAGACCTTGACATTTTAGCCTCAGAAATACAGAAAGATAGTGACAAAACCAGGAAATTAGAAGGGTATTCGGAAAGGCGGAGAATAAGCTAGTTTCCATTTAATTCCATGCACTTGCAAGCACAAAAGTATGAGTGATAAGAGACATATACAGATGTGTGATTGCGCAGAAAGACAGAAGTCAGGACAGGAAAAGGAGTACAGGTGGTAGTGGGCTGATGACAGTGTGAACTACCAAACAGAAGAAAAAGGGCTGACATTTTATTTTAATTATCTGTTCAGTCTTCAATTAAATAACTATTAACTATTCTATATTGAACACAGCAAATGAGGTTTTAAATATACTGAAATACTACAAGCAAACTGTTTCACAATTACCTCTGGTGCAACAAAATTTGCAGTGTAACAAGGAGTCATGAGGAGCCCGTTTTCTGCTCTCAGCTGTTTGGCAAAGCCAAAATCACAAATTCGAATAGACTCTGGATTGCCAGACTCATCCACATAAAGAATGTTGCTAGGTTTCAAGTCTCTGTGAACCACCTAATTGAAATACAAATTAAGGGGGTACATTAACAATACATTTCCATTATAGAAAATACTTTATTCACAAACTGTCAGAGCAATGCACTTAACAAGATAGTGAGTACTGACCTTTTAAATTACCCCACCATTATAAAATGCTGAATGCAAGTGTAACTCTCTAACACAGAACTGGGGCAAAGAGAGGAAGAAGAAAGAATAGTATTTACCTTACCCCTCTTCGACCAACTGAATAAGTGGTTTAAGGAGCAATGCAAATAACAATAATAGCGGTCTCCAAGTTATCAATTCATTAAACAATATTTATTGATTGCCTCTCATGTGCCAGGGTATTACATAAGGAGCTGCAGATACTAAGGTGAACAAGATCCATAAGATCCTTGTCTTTACATGCTAGGAGCTTACACGGTAGCGGGGAGAATAAACAGGGAAGAGATGCGGCAAGACTTGGGAGGTCAAGGAGGGTCTCTAGAGGAGGTTAGCATCTGATCTAAGACCTTTAGAACAGATCAAACAAGGCAGAACAGTGGGGGATGGTCATACTAAGCAGAAGGAACAGCCTGCACAATGGAGGTGCACAACAAACATGCTGATAGGCTCAGTGAAACAGGCCTGGGGTTTAGGAGGAAAAAGGAAAAAAATCCTGACTTTAACTATTACCTATTTGACATCCAAGGGACAATGTCACACACAAAAAGATACCGGTCCTTTAGAGTTGTGTATTACTTTCCCCCTTTAATCACCTGTGTGAATACTTCTTTTATCATAAGCCTCTCTGACACTCCTTATTAGACTTACATGTTTCTTCTATCATCAAATTCGGAGTCTATATCCTGATCAGTCACCTCAGTTTTAGTTCCTAACATCCAGAATGTGACTTCTCCAGGCCATTTAAAAAACTTACTACTGCTGAGGAACTGGTCAAGAACACAGAAGACCTAAATGACTGCAGTCATGAATTCTTCAGTAAGTACCGAGTTCTACTAATTTCTAGCTACAGTCCTCAGTGACTCTTGACCAGCAGAAGTCAAGATGCTCTTGAACTAAATCAACACAGTCCACCTGTTAGCTTCTAGGGGTGAAGACAAACAAAAGGAGAACAATGTATTGAAAATAAACTCCTTAATCTCTTTTGCTTTTTCTTGCTTCCCATTCCTCTTCACTCTTCTGCTGTTCTTTTTCTCCTTGCTGCCCCCCATTTTCTCTTTTGCTTCCTTTCCCTCCCAGACTTCTCTTCTTTTTAAAACATGATTTTTTTTTTTTGCCATTTACTAAAAAATCTGTATCAGGAAGAAATGAAGAGAGCATCCACCAGCGAGAAGCCAGGTGACTATTTGGCCTAATCCGTTTGAAGGATTTCCTTTTATAAGTGAATACAACCCATGATTCTCTGTTTTGCTTCTAAACTTGAAATGGGCCCAGTTCTCAAGAGCACCGAGTGGCCTAGCAAAAACGGCGCTATGTCTTCCAGGTCAGAAGATCTCACTCACTTTTTTTTGGGAAGCGTAAGAATTTAACATAAATAAGCTAGGATTTCAAATTAGCACTTCAAGCTTAATGGGAGAAGTTTACATAGAGGAAGAATAGTATGATAATTAAGCTAATAGTAGTTATTTTCCATTACATGCATAAAGTAACTTGTACTTTTGTAATTTTAGCTCAAACATTAAGAAAAAAGGTATTTGTGTGTGTGTGTGTGTGTGTGTGTGTGTGTATTTTTTATATAAAATATTGAAAAGACTTACCCCTTGTGCGTGAAGATATTCAACAGTTTTGGTTATAGTAAACAGGACAGCGCTGGCCTCTCGTTCAGAAAAAAATTTCTGTCTAAGAATTTTATCCAGCAATTCACCCCCTTTCATAAGTTCTGTTACTACATACACATATTTTCCATCATCATATACCTATAAAATTGAACACCAAAATGTGAAAAATTATTTAAAGCTTTATATGTGCTCAGAACAAAGTTTAGCATATTAAAGAGAAATTAAAACTCATTTTTATATTCAAGGAAAATTTTACTTACCACAACCAATGGAGGATATTAAACTTGCAAACGGTTTTATACACATAAGAATATTAAAATAAGAATTGATGAGACTGATCGTCAGAAAAATAACTTGTAATTTCATTTTGTGAAATTTAATTCATGGCAATCAAAGTAGGTATGGGCATGGTGTATGAAGGGGCACTGAACTTTTGCTCCTAGGGTTTGTTCCTCTTTTTTTTTTTTTAAAGATTTTTTTATTGGGGAATTGGAGGGATGGGAACAGTGCTGGGGAATTGGGGAAGGGGAACAGACAAGTTGCTGTCGTTTTGTTCTTCAATCTAGTTGTGGAGGATGTTGCTTCACTGGCCC